GCAGTGTGAGAGCTCCAAGAAAGGCCATGTCCTGGAGCGGTGTAATTGGTGGGAGCAGGGGCTGCAGAGGCGATTACAAGATAAGCAGGCTCTCCCACTTCTCCTAAAAGCTTGACAGCTACCAGCAGCTGGCAGGAGTGTTTCAGCCCTATATGGCTCTTATTAAAAGAACCAAATGGAGAAAAGAAACATGACTTTGATGGACCTTACAAAGCCTTTCTGGAGGCAGGATCACAGTGGTCTCATCCTTGCAGCCACCCCTTTGTTTCTCTCTGAAGATCCCTAAGAAAGTGCTTTCCCACAGTTGGAGTCCAGCACTAAGAAGAAGCAGCTCTGCCCCATAATGCAGGCAGCCATCATTGATGTTGTCTCCCTGTGAACTGGGGCTCTTCCTGCATGAGGCTTTCACTTGGCACATGGTGCAAAGCATTAGATGTGGAAAGAGCAAAGTGTGTGGGAGCTGCTGATTTCATCTCCTTGGTGGGACTGTTTTTTTAATAGCAAGATGAGCTGTGGCACTTCCTTGAAAATATGACAATCCATGGGAGAGTTCATTAGTTTATGGCAAGTCGCAACAGCGTGGCAGCTATCTGAAAGCAAATGTTACTGCAAAGAGTTACCACTAAGGGGAGAGGAAAACGTGTCCTAAGGAAATCAACTTCATGGAGCAATATAAAGCTGTAGAGACAAGCAATAGAGTTGAATGCTTCCTCAGAATAAAAGCTTCTTGTTAACTAGTTTTAATGCCAATGATTGCTCTCTGCCTATTTAATGAACACATGGGACACATCTGCTCAGGACTGTCTCTAAGAGGACTAGCAAATATCATGACTTCAGCTGACTGAACTTTTTTATCACCATTACACAAAATGTCTTTGTGATCACACAGAAATTAAAGGACAGGTTGGATGTGGCCTTGGGCTGCCTGATCTGGTGGCTGGCAGTCCTGCCTATGGCAGAGAGGGATGATCTAGATGATTTTTAAGGTCTTCTCCAACTTATGCCATTCTATCATTTATGACCATCATCCAATATTGATAACAGCATTAAGAGCAAAAATTGGCTTTGGCTTTTTTAGAAAGCAGTGTGTTTTAATTTCAAGTGCTATGGAATTATATCTCTAGAGAGATACAGAGAACTTTTTTTACAGAGAACAGAGACTTTTCTCTGTAAACTTAATCTAGATTTACACTGCTGGTTTTCTTATTTTTGAGTCTATCTAACTTGCATCAGTGGCAGAAAATGCAGTACCAGGTTTGGCGAAGCGTGAAGGTGAATTCAGGATAATCCATCATTATCTCAGAGTCTCATGCCAGTCACGACTGTGCAGAGGATTCCAGTTCTACAGCGTCAGGGCTTTCCTTGTGCTTTTCCCTTTACTGGGGAATATGTTGCTCCAAAGTCAAAGCAAAACAAGATGTTTCTTGAGAAGCTTTGTTGTAGCCAACCCTGCTGCCATGGTGAGTAGCACCCTGTTCCATACACTTCATGGTTTGGGAGAAGGGCTCTGTTCTTCACTGCTCTGGATCAGTCTTGGACTGCTGCTTGGATCCCATTCTGCATATGCATGTATCTGTCTGTGAAGTAGAGGGTGACCCTTCATTGTTTTCCTCCCTTTCACCCTCTCACTCATTCATATTTGACCCTAGGTTCCTGTCTGAACTGTTGTTTGTTGCAGTGTGATCCTGATAGCTTCCCTGCCTGAGGAGCTTGCTAGCATTCTGGTGACAGTGCAGCCCCTGGTTTTCACGCTGGTGACCTCAGAAATAGGAGATCAACTTCTTGAATGAGATGCCTGAGGAGCCTGAGATAGGTCAGAGAGGAGTTGGATGGATCAAAAGACAGAGATGTTTCTCTGACAGCCCTGGGTCTCCCAGTCATGATTTATGAATTACATACAGTCTATGTGTTTAGCAAAAGAGGCTCAGTGGGGAAACAGGAACTGGTTTGTGCAAGCAGGAAAGAGCATGCAGCTTCAAAGAGCCACCATCCAAAAAGAGATACCACCTCCAGCTCTCTGTGGAGCCATCAGGGTGCCATGTAGGAAGCAGTGAAATAGATGGCAGAAAACATCAGGATATGTTAATGGGCCATCATTTTAATGGGAGATGGTTACAGGAAAATAGAGACCAAACTCAGAAGCTGGGAGCTGTGGACTCAAAGCAGCGCATGTGATTTTCCCTCTCTGAAAAGCTGGATGTTGGGTTATGAGCCAGCTACAATACATGCCATGGGACACTGAGTTGTGTGGCCCATAGCCTGGTGAGAGGAGAAGGGTGACCATCCCCTGAGCAAGCAGGCAGGAGGTCTGTGCTCCCATCGAGTTCTGGGCAGAGACAGCTGAAAAGGTAATGGAGAAGTGGGAATGGCATTGGATAGTACTGTGAGGATAGAATAGGCCTCTCCAGTACCACATCCTGAGGTAGGACTGCAAGCCATGAGAGAACATACTTGCTGAAATTCCGGGGCAGATGTTTCCCTAGGAAAAATCCTAATTATAAATTTGAAGGCCGGAGCATTACAGCGTGCACAGTGCAGTAGCCCCATATGCAACCTATGACATTGGATGGGTGGTGATCTACCTAGGAGATAGTCTTTCAGTTGTCAAAGGCTTTGAGCAACAAAAACCTGCTGCGTTCTGAGTCTGAGTAATTATCTGCTGGAGTAACTTTGCTATGTTGTGATCTAACACAAAACCACCTATTTTCAGCTTCCAGCATGTGAATCTTGCTTCTCCTTTGTCTGATGGAAGAGGAATTCCTCTGCCAGACAGAAGCTTTCTGGGAACTTTTTGTAGACCATGACTATTTCACCTCCCAGCTCCTAGCTGCTAAAGGCAGTAAAATATGTGAGCCTCCACTGTAGGACAGGTTTTCCCATCCTGAATGATCCCTGTATTTTTTGTTGGAGGTAGGAGGTGAAAAGGGGAATCAGGGAAATCCATGAGCTGAAATTTCAGGCATTTCTTAGGCTACAGCCTTTTTTTCCATTGCATATGGACCAAAGAAGTCAGATACACTGAGGACCATGCTGGTGATTGAAGAGTTGGGAATGGCCAGTGTGGATCCCACAGTTGTGTCTCAGCAGCCCTGGGGTGACCCCTTAGAGAATAACAAAGTCTCCGAGGACACTCAGTTGGCACTGGGAGAACTTTTCCAGGATAGCCAAACACCATCCAGCCATTTTCTCTATGGTAATTCCTAAATCTCTATGCTAAGAGGAGCTACTTTACTGCCGTCACCAAGCCACTGCTGTCGCTCTTTGGAGGGAGGCTGGGTGACTATGGGGATTTGCTGCTGAAAGAACAACTGAATGCATATTTTCAGCCATTTTGGGGAACTTGCTGTTCCCTCCTCTCTCAGCGTCAAAGGAAAGTGGGCCCCCAGGGTGCTTTTACTGTCACAGAATTACTGTAATGTTGATATTAACACTAGACTCGATGGATGGGAGGTAGCTCCAGTAAACATATATCATTGTTGAGCGAAATCAGAGAGAGAGCGCCTTGGCTTATTTTTTTTTCCCCATGCCGAGACAGATGCTGTCATCATATCATTCACGTAACCTTTCAAATGAACTTAGTAATCATGATATGTTTTGGTTTGGCTTCTTTAAGATTAAAACCCTGCCTTTTAGAAAAAGGAAACCATAAGTTAAATAACTCCAAAATTAGGTATTTCTGAAGGATAATTAGTGGTCTTCTTTCTTACCAAAAACAACCCAAGGCTGTGCTTTAAATAACACCTTCTAGTAATTCCTTCAGTGCTGCTCCAAATGTGATTAATTTAGCAGGATGTTATCAGTATAGCATCCTACACTTCAACCCATACTTTAGGGTATTATCTGCAGTAAGGACTGCTATGTATTTCTGCAACATTCTGAAAGTTGGCCTGACCTTATGTTGTAAATCCCCCTGCGTGGGGCTCTCTGCTTCAGAAGTCACAGCAAGAGTTTGCTCGCTACAAGGAAATTACCAACCAGCTGTATTCTTTCATTCCCCATTTCTGTAGATAGGGGGACCCATGGAAAGTGGACGCGGACACAGATCCCTGCCCCCCATTGTTTCAATTGGATGCAAATATATGGGCACTGTAACCCCAGGGCTTCATTGCTTTGAGCAAAAAGCAGTTTTAGTTGAATTGGAAATTCTGTACCAAGGGGAACAGGTCTGTATCTGGAAAGGGGCTCACTGCAAAAAGAGAGCAAATATATAAATATATACTATATAGGGATATATGTGTGTATACACATACATTGGGGCTGTATATACAGAACGGCACACACACATACTTAGGAGATGTGTATATAACACTCGCTCATATACAAATCTACTCCTTGTTATGAAACAATCATCGGGATATAAACAAGAGACTTTAAACCTCGGATGGGCACGTTTTCAAGTGCTGCTGGAGGGTTTTATCTGCAGTCCTGAAGAAGTGCTATCAAAACCTTAACAGGGTACTCATTACAAAGAAATCTTTACGTAAGTGCTGGAAAGGTTTGCCGAAGAACCAGATGTTGTTGCAAGGACAGCTCTCCTCCCCCTCCCCACTTCTTTCCATCTTCAATAGTTCGATTAATGCTGCACATAAACCCGGGCTGATAAAACGTCACCACATCTGGACACTGTTGAAGCCAGATCATTTCACGGTGCACTTCGGTCGCTTTTAATCTTCCTCAATAAAGTAAAAGCTTCCACCAAGTCATGCTGACCGACGCACAGACTTCTGCGCTGTAAACACTGACATCTGGGAGCTGCTCTCGGCGAGCATGCAGCGGTCTCCGCCGAGCCAAGCGCTCGCCCTTCTCCGTAAGAGGAACGCACAGCTGATGCTATCGGAGCAGCACTGCGATCAGATCGCTGCAAAGCTCTCCACTATTCCCAACCCTCCACCTAATTGCTGTCAGGGGACAAGTCAACGATTTGCTGTTTTTCTGGAGCAAGGAAAACTAAACGACCTCTCTGCTTAACACTGCCCAAGTAGAAACATTTCTGTACTCACAGAAGGACAGCAGCAGCAAGGAAAGCAGACCCAGTCTCCTCCAGCAACCCATTTTCTGGATCCAGAAGCTTGGCTTCAGGGTGTTGACCCGTCCATCCTTCTTCCTCTCCGATGTCAAGCCCACAGCCCCACATTCATGAGGCTGCAGGCTGGGAAGGCGGATCCAGGCACAGCGAACCCAGCTGTGCGTGGGGTCCGCCCAGGAACTGCAGCTCATGAACAAACTCAGCCCAGCTCTCCTCGTGAAATATATACAAATATGGGAGGGGGGGGAGCTGGGGGAAGAGCTCTGGCTCTGGGAAAAGTTTGGTTTTTCCAACTGTGGAGTTGAGCTGCTTTGAGCAGCCCAGGGAGCTGTAGAGGGGACCTTGTGCCTAGAAGTGGCATGGGCACGGCCACAGACTTCTTCTGTCTGAATAAAACATGGAAAGGAACGCTTCAGTACTCTGAGCTGCCATTAATTCACTGTTTTTTCTCCTTTTAGAAATCGGCTCTACCCTATAAGTAAACTGCAATGGGATATATCTTCAATAGGGATAACTGGAGAGTATATGGTAACTTCTACAGAAAGATGGCATCACCATGAGTTCAGCCCAAAGTAGGTGTTTTCAAACTGCGAGTATCCTGATACATTTTACTGAATCAGAGCCTAAAATAATAACAGAGCATTTAAATAGCTTCTTTCACCCCAAGACCTCAAAGTTGCTTTACCAAAAAAAAAAAAAAAAAAAAAAAAAAAAAAAAAGGG